GAGAAAAAGTCAATAGAATCCTATTCTATTTTATTTAAAACCTACGATCCAGATTTGACGAGTTGAATTTTAATTAAAACCTAAAAACCATGGATTGTTTGGGGGGCCTCCCCCCTTCACTAAATAGGGTCCCATTTTTGTTTGGGGAGGGGGGGGGGCCCCCACACTAATCACGATCCAACATTAGGGTTGAGGCCTTAGACAGCTGGTTACATGTTTAGCTCTTGGGGTCTTGGGGGCTGAGATTTCGAGATAAGGGTTTAGGGTTCATATACGAGCCTTTGGAGACCCCAAACCCTAAGATAACATACATGATACCGATCGAAATGAGCCCCGAACAAGAGCACCCGATGGTGCCTAATTGTCATTATAGCAATTACAGTAAGTGGTTCAGGGCTTGTGCTAACGATTGTACATGCGCTTTGAGTGCCAGGTCTTTGCATCAGGATCTTGAGGTTCAAAGAGTTGGGGAGTTCGACACAAAATACCATAAATAACCGTTGACTTGAAAGGGCATCCCTTGAAAGGGGCGTCCAACACCCGCCTGAAATGTCGCTATACCCTTCGGTCCTAAACGTCTCCCTGTTTTGTGAAACTCCCATTTGTCAGGGCCTCAGGACCTGCAAGCTGGAGCCTAGGGCATGGGCAAAAGCCGGTATTCAGCAACGAATGTCTCTAGCACAAGGGGCCCCTGACTCATCGGGGCATTACACTCCCAAAAGAAAAGCCTACAAACTAACGCCTTCACAAAAAGCACAGCCACCATGGAGAGCCAGCACATGCTGTGCAAAGTTCGTGATAAAGCTTCAGAAGTGGTAGTTTCCCAAATTAGGGGCCCCAAATACAGACCACTACAGTCCTTGTTATTGGGACCCCCCAAAAAGTGCCTCTACTGTTGGGAAATCCCCAATATCTTTGACAGTATTATGACAGCCCAGGCAGTATGGCGCCTGCTTTGCGTCCAGTCTGCTTTAGTAGTTGCTTTGACCTGCCCTCCCCCTAAGTAGCAGGAGATTCAGGTACCGTTTAGAAGGGCCGTGGTCCATAAGGGGCCGCTTCTTCAGGCCGCAAATGAGATTTGGGGAGGATAGGTGCTGCTGGAGGACAAAATGGAGGGCTTATTGAGGAACGCCGAGTAGGATTCTGCGCAGTTTGTAGCATGTCGGGCTTGGGGCTTATGACTTACTTTTGGTTAGCTAGGAATGAAGGAATGAATCCTTATAGTAGTCCCTATATCATCCATTATAGTAGTTTTCATGCTCCTTCCATGCCCTCATTTCCAGCTAGCCAAAGGCAAGTTATGACCGTTACACCGTTTTTTTGACAGAATGGGCTCTCAGCGAGTGCTCAACTTAAGGCCAGCCTCTGCCGCTTCGGCGAAGCTTTGCAGGAGTACCAGAAGGCATGGGAGATCTTAGAGAGCCTGGGCACACCATAGCAGTGAGGGTGTAGGGGTAGAATAGTGGAGAAGTAAATGTAACAGACAATGGAAACTTGGATTTTATGGAGAAATCTTTGGCTCAGGGAATCCCATGCTTGGGACGTTTCATCTGAAACAAGTGAAAATCAGTGGCCCTTTGCTCCTAGGGAAGGTACACCCCGTTCTCGGAGATTCAGGTATCCACGTTGAGGTGTTGCTGCCAGCCAAGCTTCTTAGGAGGTTGTCATCTGAGATTGTTTTTTGCAAGGCGCTCATGCGATGGATCTCAAAGTTATGGGTCCGTTGTTTCAAGGACCCCCAAAACAGGGATCGAGCATAAATGGGGAACACCTACTGCGCGAAAGCCGCTTAAACCTGAAGCCTGTGCTAACTACAGGAGTATGACGAAGCTTCTTCATAAGGGACCTCTACAAGCTCCACACGCCACTAACTCTAAGCCACAAACCTTAACCCCCGCAATGGCCCCCATGCTTAGAGAGCCCCAGAGCGTCTCAACATCCTCAGTCAACGCTGGTTGCCCTACTGAACGAAGAAATGGTCCTCGCAACAACGCTTGTCTGAACCCCCTCTCATGCACACCAGAGCGTTTTCCGACAAGGCTTGATGTTCCATGGGTAAATAAACTAGCCTGCCAGTCCCGGAAGGGAACTCGTGTTTGTTGTTACGTGCTGTTTGGCCTTTTTTGTTGTTAGGCCCCTTAAAGCCCATCCAGGCAGGGCGGTAAGTGAGTGAACTTCCGTCCCCGCCCAAACAGCAAACAAACCCACACGCCCCCGCCACGCCCCCCGCCCAAACAGCAAACAAAAACATGCCCCCTTGCGTGGAGCGCCAGCTTCGGAGTGGAGCAATGAGGAGGGGGTCGTGTTTCATTTTTTGCTGTTCGGGCGGAGGCGTATTTCATTTTTTGTTGTTTGGGCAGGGGCGTGGCCCCCGCCCAAACAGCAAAGAACAAAACACGCCCCCGCCCAAACAGCACAAAATAGAACACACGAAAAGCCCAAACAACAAAAAAGACCAGACAACAAAAAATAAACGCAATTACGGTCCCGCAAGTTGTAGAACAAGTGTTCCCCGGCCACAGATGATTAAGCACAAGGCTGGGAGCTACCGATCTTAAACTGGAAACTTTGAACCAGCTCTTCCCTGCACAACAGCTCGCAAAGAGAACTACCCTCATCCCATGCTGTTCCTGCACCTGAGACTTGTGAGGAAGTACAACTCCACGACAATTCCAGATGCTTGCACTTTGTCATTTGATACTGGGTTGCAATTAAGCCAGTCAAATCAAGTTGCCATATTATGGGCATATAGTAGTATAGTAGATACTAGGGCTTCCTCATAGTAGATAGTAGGGCTTCCTGATTATAGGACCTTACTTTAAGTTCCCCAACAACAACCCAGGACATGGCTATTGCTGCAGCTGGGCTCCGTAAAGCCGAGGATGCACAGCGATACTTTCAAGAGGCTGGGGCTTGCAGCTTTGTAAAACTACTCATACTTTTGGGGGGAGCTAAGGAGCTAGGGGTAGCCTATATCAATATAATAAGGGGAGCTAAAGAGCCCAGTAATCTCCAAAACCATAGGGGAGAAAAGCATGTAACAGTAACACTCTTTAAGTACCACCTAATTACATGAAAGGTAAGGTTCCAGAATGGCCTCTATGGGAAGTCCAGATTAGGGCTTACAAGTCTCTGGACTTGGGGGGAATAGCTCCGAGGAGGATAGTCTCTGATCCTACATACCACTCCTGGTTTTATGGGAGTACTCAGGGGAGTATGATGAGGCTGGTCAACCTAGAGCTACCCACCTGTAGATGGCTTCAATCAGGTATGAGCGAAGGGTTGCGGTTTGCGCCCCCACACTTCTGGCAGCCTCGAAGCATGGTATACTAAGAGGCACGACGTCCCCATGGATGATGTTGTAGACGAACAGAATCGCAATGAGTGACCGATCAACACCCCCGACCACAGTTGCTCAGTAGTTAATGAGGAAAACTGGAAACTCCACTGTCTGCTCACGAGTGCGGTCCGTTTCGATTGCGGCACCTGCCGTGGGTTTTTACCGAAGCAGTAGAGATCTTCCTTTGCTTGCAATGACCCTCAATGAACCTGGACTCAAAACCCTCTGGGCCTAGACGTAAACCCTGGACCTAGACCTGTGCCTTCAAAGCGTAATCACATATACTTGTTAATTAATAGCCACGGTGATCATCATGGTAACCATGGCAAGAAAACGAATAACAAGAGTAGTGATGAGGGCCAATGATAGTTTTCTTTTACCTCGCAAGGTAGGTGGAATCCCTATACACCCAAAGATGGTCAAAAGGCCATGATTGTATGTAGATACTCTTTGGGCCCAGGTAATACCAGAAGTCATGCTAGGCCAAAGCCTCAACCCTAAACGGGATGCCATTGCACCCAGGCTGCGACCATACTCGACAGCAGTGCCTCTGGCAATGCGAAAATGACCTGGCTACTCAAAGTTCGGAATCTGCGAAGCATGAGCTTCTGGGCAGTTTTTCCACCAGCAAGGGCCGCTTTAAGGGGTTATGGGGGCTATCTGGCGGACTGAAGTAGGGAGGTATACGGGCTCATGGGTTTAGGGTTTCCAAAATTAGGGGCCGGGGCGTCTTTGTCGGGAACAAGACCGAGGATTATAGCCTTTGGGGGCAGTTTAAGGGGGACCACGTTTTTGGAAATACATTTTGGGAGATGCTCTAGCTTTTGTAGCTTTTTAACGAGGCTTCTGAAACACAACTTAGGTTTTGCCATGGAGAAAGCAGGCAGGACCAGGGATCGGGTTGAGGAAGAGAGTGCCGGGTGAATGGTATGGCGTTTAGGGCTAGCCCGTGCAGATCGCAAGCCAGTGTCTTTGTCTCTGCCGCCCGGTACACCAGAGCTGTGCTAACCTCTTTGCTACAACACACTACCAGGCATGATGAACCGCCCAAAATCCTAAATCCAAAGCCCCGCACCCAGCCCTGAAACTTGTGCGATGCCGTGATGTCGGGTTTCTCACATTGGGGGGCTCCAGGTCTTGACCTGACGTACTTTGTAGGGGCTATTTTGACAACGCGCCGATACCCTTTTCCATCCCCGGAGGTAGCACTGAGGAGGGCATGCGACCTCTACAGCAGGCTTGGAAGGCCTGGGATCTTGAAAGTGCTGTTTTGTGTTGGCCGTAAGTATCAAAGGGGACGAAGGGAAGGTATCAAATTTCTTTTCAGAAGCCCGATCAGGGTTGCGAGTGTAAGCTACTCAGTTCAGAAGTTGTAGATATAGTAACCATAGTCTAAACTCCCCGTATGCTCCTTAATAACCCTATAGCAGTCTCCTGTACAATCACCTATATACCCCTCCTTCAGGAGTTTAGACTATAGCTTGGGCGGACCCCCAACCTGTAATAGTGGTATAATAGGAATGTAAGACGACCCTCATATAATCCTTATTATCCCTTATAGTCACTAATACTGGGTGGGAGGGTCCACATTAACAGTTTCTAAAAAAGGCAAAGGGTGGGATAGGTTTTTTGCTGCCACATTCATCCCGCCAGATCCTTCGAGAAGCTGATGCCGCGGAGAGCCTGGAGTCTGCGGCGCTGTTGCATCACATGGGTGCTCTACACTACTATTTGGCGTCCTATCCAAAGGACGGGTGAATCTCCTCAGCAAGTCTTTTGGATCTAGTCTATTGGTTTTCTTTAGCACACAATCCTGACCCCTGATCCGAAGCCTCACCAAAAGAGGCTGCCTTGTACTTTGACCTCGCGCGAGAGCGACACCAAGCTCATGGGGATTTGTCAGGCATGATGAAGATGTGGTGGCTCTGCGGCGTGGCAGGATTGTGCAGAGATCGCAGATCGCACCCCCCCAATGGATCCAAGAACAAGCGCTTAGTTCAAGGTAGGCCCTTAAGTGCGTTAAAACTGTGGATCTCCTGCAGGAGCCTAAAGAATTACCAATAGGGTTCTGAGGTTTATTTGAGGTAGCCCCTACCATGGTCTAGGCTTTAGGGTTTAGGGCCTATAGGGTGAAGGGGTTTAGGGCTATAGAATAGTTGGTATACAAGGAACCTAAGACTAGAATATTGGGAGTAAGTCAGGTATCTACATTGCACCCAGGTACTGTGACAACGGTGCGTGGCTGGTTGTGGACCACAGAGCAGTGGCTGTACCCGTGAGCCGCACTGCCGGTTCGACTTTCAGAAGAAAGCTTCCATGACAACAATGGCTGCAAAACAAAAAAGAATGCTCATGATAAGAGTAGTAATATCAATGATACTAACGCCTGTGCCATTAATAGTAAGTGTGATGATAATGACAGCGATTATGGTACTAACTGTAACAGGTTTAGAAAGTCCCTCAGAGTCTCCGTCGGGTGCTGACAGCGACTTCAACTTGCGCTTCAAAAAAGTGAGCACGTACAACCTTGTCTTTCTTGCAATGATCATGTGCAATTAGACGTTGCTAGCAAGATCAAAATGAAATGTGTATGTAGCAGGATGCACAGCAGCCAAACGGCTAACTAAGATTCTCCACGGCTTCATGTTGGCAGTCTCTTTCGATCAGGCTCCTTTCGAGGCTCAGGCCTGCAGCGGGAGAACAGTTGATTTGCTAGATCCTTGCACTTTCTCTTCAATGCTTCGTTTCTTTGGGGTCCTGCTCCTGGCGAGCCTTTGCGTGGCTTGGGGCGTTCGTCAACATTCGGATGGCAGTGAGCTGCAACCACAGGGCGACTTTCGTCAGTGCGACCTGGGGGTTCGTTTTTCGGACCGCTTGGTGCTCCGGGAGACCTGCTTCCAATCTGGCGAGGTCACGGAAAAAGGCAGGTCATCAGTCGCACATGTGACAATAATCAGGTCTCCAAATACACTTTACTTTTGGTAGGGCTCCTGAGCTTAAGTTGCTTTCCTGGCCTGAGCAGGCAATGTGATCACAGTGCATCAAGGCGCGCGTGTTCGCCTCTTCTCACAAGGCCAAAGCTTGGAGAACGTGGTCCTCGATAGCATCATCGTGGAGTGTGGTGCTGTCTTGCAGCTAGAGCAGCTAAGCATCACTGCTGCCATCGAGATACGGGCTCATTGCAACAACCCCGACGGTTCGAATCAAACACTGCAGCCAGCCACTTTGCAGGTACGGAACTGCGAAATGCGGGTGCCCCAAGATGCAGACGAGAATTGGCTCATGGTGTACAAAGCTTCGAAAGTGGAGATCAAAGACAGCAAGGCGTATGCCACAGCCAGCATCCGGCATGCGTCGGAAGTCTCCGTGGAACGGGTTGAGTTTGTCGCTGCTGAAAGCCTCACCATGGTGACATCGCTAAGAACTTCGAATGTGACTTCCCTTGTCGTCAAGGACTCCGTGTTTCGGGTGGGGGCGGACAAGGATGGCATCTCCGCAGTTCAAACAGATGCCAACCTTCAGAACGTGAGCATCTGTGGGGAGAGGGTCTTCCCTCGCAGCAAAGGTGACCATCTCAGCAGAGGTGGCATTCGCTTGCGACGCAGCAAGCTGCAAGCCAGCGAGCTGCTTGCAACTGACCTGAGAGTCGCGCTGGATTTTGTGCAGTCAGATGTTCAGATTGAGCAAGCATATGTGGCCTTCAATGCAGTGGGCGTTTCAGGAAGCCTCAACGCTGGCAGTTCTATGTCTGGTTTCATATACATGAACGGCCAGGATTTCCAAACCACCAGTCTTCTGAGTGCAGCTGGCTTGAACACTTGGGACCCGATGACCACCGCTGGCACAGATTGGGATCTTGCATTCCTGACTGGTGCCGTGCTGTGGTATGCGGTGACGTGGTTGACATCACGGTTTTGCTCTGAAGAATCTCACTGGCAGTGGCTTCCCATCGTGTTCGGATGCCTGCTGTTTGCTCCAGCACCGTTTTGGATGGGTGTTGTTTCATACAGGGCACTCGTAGCTGCTCACTACGCCATCAACGATGACAGGTGGACATGGGTAATGACTCGAGTGCTTTACACGGGGCTTCTGCTTGCCGTCTGGGCTGTGCTCATGATGTACAGGTATAGACAAAGAATGCAGCAGGTGAACGTTGGCCGCTTGGTCAAAGCAAATGAAACACAGAAGGAGCTACAAGATAAGAAAACTGCATTGCTCAAGAAACTGGATAACAGGGAGGCCCGACGGCAAATGGATGCTTTGCAGTTTGACCTCTTCCAGTCCATGATTGCTGGTGAGGAGTCCAAGGCCCAGGCGGTTTTCAACGCTATGCAGATTTGTGCAAAGGACCAGAACGACCGCTTGGCGAACTGGTTCAGAGGGTACAGCCGTTACGGACCGGACGAAACAAGTCAAGGGCAAGGGCATGTTGAACGCTGGCAAGGGCATGTTAAACGCTTCAGCAAGTTGGAGGAAATCCAAAGTTTCCAAAGTGTGCATCATGAGGACTTGCAGCAGCACGCTTGCTGGCCCAGTGATGACATCGGAGAGGCCAAGGCAATCGAAATCCTGGCTGCGACTGCAGAGTGGCTTAAGGACACCTGAGCTTCGGACGTACGTAGCGATACGTTAGGCAATGATGGTATAGGTGTAATTTCTGCAGACCCACACCAGAATCTCTCTCTAGGAACATACAATCCCTACATCCACGCAGGACACCTTTCGGACGGAACTCGCCTGCGTTGTTGGCAAGGTACCCTGCCTTGCAGATGACCACAATTTCTGGATATGCACTAGCATTGTGGTCATCCGTGGTGATCTAGGTTCTTCATAGAAAAGATCTTTTAGATTTCCTGGAGCCCACACTCAAAAGGGCACTACGGGGACGCGACACATTTGGTAAGCTGCGTTGCGCGGTTCAAATCACGGACTTGCTGAGGTGAATGATGACGCGCCGAAAGAGACCGAGACTAGTGCGAAGCCAGGCCAGCACTCGCAATGTAGGGTTTAGGGTTGGTTGAGCATCACCGTCACCCTCCGTAGCCACACTGATGACACGGCCTGGCCTGGCAGTGTTTACAACGCATGTCGGCTTTACTCGGGCGTTGAGTCAATCGGACAAGGCCATAAAGACGAGCACTAACATTTCAGAGATTGAGGTTCTGAGCCCGCTTTTGTTCTGGGTTCTACTCAGTGTCAGCATTCAGCATACTTGAATTGATCGCTGGCCTACATATGCAGTCGTAGTTTGGTTCGAATTGCCCTGAGCCGATAAGCTGGGAACTGCAGCCACAGATACACAGACCCTGCACGGCCTCAGAACAAATTGCGCTAAGCCATGTGCCATGGGCTTGTTGATACTTCACGGAATCAGGATTGTTTTGTAAGACGACCAAAAGAAAAACTGATCCCCACAACAGCCATGCGAAAGCCGTTGTGTCCTTACTTTGAGAGTTGGTGTTGCCAAATGTACTTTATTGTTCATAAGGTAGCAACTTAAGCTTGTGACGATAGAACCACTGCGCACGCTCCTGCTTTCACGAGATGTTCCGCATCCTTGAAGATGGGCATGGCTGAGCATCTTCCTATCTTTGTCCCTTCGGCTAGCGGCTAGCAATGTGCAACTTTGAAATCCTGCATACTTTATCCAACATTGCACTCAATGATTCCGAGGACTTTGGATTTAAATGATGGGGATGGTTCTGGAGGAAAAGAACCGGGGTGGCCATGTTCCAAGCTAATCGCGCACTGGGAGCATTAGCTACATACTTGTAGCCTGGAGTGTGCTTCCTTGCTTGTTCGTGGCTGTGGGGGGCGGAGCCATACATGAGAAACAGGTACATGTACGCCCATGGTGCTTGGAAGGCTACACGCTACAGCCCGAGTCCGGCTCCCAATGGAACCCCGGAGATGTACTTGGCTTCGTCCTCGCTCCTGTCAAGGCCAGGACCTTCCAGCATTCTCCAGGAGATAATCTTTTCAGGTTCTCCTTCCAGAGGCATGAATGAGTAGCCATGATTGTCAATATTCGGCTTTGAAACATGGGACCTAGGGTCTCATCTTAGAGAAGTATTACACAGGTCCAGCAATCGACCCGCATCGGTCAGACTTTCAATCGTCTGCCTCAGATTGAGGACGCTGCGCCAGACTGCTTTCTAGGAGGAATGGCTGTTCGTGCTCATGAATGTTCGTCAACTTAGCCTTGCAATCCTGGTCTGTATTCCAAGTATGCAAGCGTCTACATCCCCACTTCTTACCGTCCAGAAGAAACTATGGGACTGACACGGCTTCAGGGTGCCTAGCACCCCGCGCCAATCAATTTGTTCGTCCCCAAAGATCTTTGGCTTGACCAGGATCCGAAGCGCGCCCTCGACAAAATCAAGGGAGACTATGAGAAGGACTACGAGCAGAAAAAGAAGACAAGTGCCCCGGACACATTTGTGGGTTTTGGCAGACTTGCAGACCTTAGGATATGGCCGCAGGTGTAACCCTAGGGTCTGCATTAGGGGTTTCGGGGATTAGATTTTAGGAATTTACGAATTTTGAAGGTTTTTGGCACCAGCTTGTGGCTTGTGAGTTGTACTATCCCGTGAAGCAGACCAACTCACATAGGCTGGTATCTCATCTTTGCAGATCGGTCACTTTTTCATGGGGTCTCTCCGCGTCTATAGCTTTTTGGTACGCTCCTTCCGGGGCCCGGAGAAAACAAAAGCCAGCAAAGCTTTGGCGTTCCTCCAGAATTCGCACGGCTTCTGGCTGCCTGTCAGGGCCTGCTTCAATCAACGATGAACTTGAGATCGTATATGTTTTTGGGATGACAAACCAGCCACTCCTCGACCGTGATCGATCGTGTTGACCACCCCTTCCGATTCACCAGCCCTCACCAACGACATCCTTCCAATCTGCACTTTGAGGCTGCAGACCTTCAAGCCCCCTCCCCATCACGAAATCCTTCCCTAATTGCCGCCAAGCTTCTGCAATTCGAGTTTTTTCAAATGAAGGAACACACTCTTGAGACCTCTTGAGTGCTCACACTCACACTCTTGTTTCTTTCTTCGGACTCTAAACCCAGCCCCCGAACCAGAGGCCATTCTAATCCTTTCCAGCCGTTCCAAACTGTTGCATCCAGCCTTCGGCCAGCGCCATAAGCCCTGCATGGCGATTCCTCTTCCAAGCCAGATGCGTCTGTGCCCCCACGAAACCGCAACTTCTTCGCTATGAGAGCCACCGGTAGCAGTAGTAGATTGGAACCATACTGGTATTGCCGTACATACTGCGGTCAGGATTGTTGGTTGGGAATCGGGCTTGCTTCACTTGGGGCATGTGTATTCTTGAGGAGAGAGAGAGAGAGATAGCCCGTAGAAGAAGAAGAAGAAGAGAGAGAGAGAGAGCCCGTAGAAGAAGAAGAAGAATAAGAAGAAGAAGAGAGAGAGAGAGAGAGAGCCCGTAGAAGAAGAAGAAGGAGAGAGAGAGAGAGAGAGCCCGAAGAAGAAGAAGAAGAAGAGAGAGAGAGAGAGAGAGAGGGAGACTGACTACTCGCCGAGGGAGGCGTAGGCCTCCCCAACGCCCGAAGAAGAAGAAGAAGAAGAGAGAGAGTAGTGCTCTCATCGCTTTTGCCTGTGCGTCTTAAGAGTCATTTTGTGAAGATTAACGTGTGTGTGTGTGTGCGCGGGTGTGTGTGTGTGTGTGTGTCTATTTTTTTGGCAGACGATTAGTTCATCTGAGTCAACAAGGTGGCATGTATTCGGATAGCATAGCCATGGCTATGTACAGTGTTGTCAAGACCTCCAAGAAAGATAAGCGCACTTGAGCGCTGGCATACGAAGCTTGACGTTGTCTTGGGAAATTATGTGTGCAGAAGTATACATGCACATGTTTATACATACGTGTCATAACATGTTTATTTGCGCATGTGACTTCTGTGGCTCTAGTACTAGAACTCCTTCATGTTCGGTTGCAGAAGCGTTTCAGAGCTTCTGAGCAACATATAAGACTGCAAAGACTCGTATAGTTCCCACGTATTCTTTCAGCAACGGCATTCACCCTTATCCCCTTGGGGTTGAGGTAAGCCGCTGGCGCGCTATGTGTGTGACTTCTTGCGGGCCACAATCTACGCAGCCGACCCGGAGGCTCCTTGACAGTTTCTGAGCTCGAGCCCTGCATAGTTCTGCATATTTAATGAACGCATTAACACTATCACTAACTGTTTCAATGGCCACAAATGCAGCTGCAAAACCACATGCTGCCTACAAACGGAGTCCTGGCTTGCCAATGCATCACATGCGAAATTCATGTGGTTTATGATCTAAGTTATCGTGATTCTTCATACTCTTCATGTTAGCCTCCAGATTGCTGGTCAGGAGGCCACGTGGCCTGAATACATAGGGCAGGGGGCACCAAAAGGACTGAAACAGAACCCTCCTTTCATTGCAGACCTCATGACCGCGAGGTGTTGGCCAAGGCCTACGACGTTCTGAAGGAGACTGGGCTGTTTTAAGAAAAATTGTGACGGAGATGGGTGTCTCGAATTTCTTTGCTACATGGCGCATAGGGCTTCTTTATAATTGAGCAGATTTGCAAGACTTGAAGAGCGTAGCAGGCCGCAGTGTCGAAGCCCCTCAGACAAGAAGCCGCAGAAAGGGGTTTTCATCATCGCTTTTATGAAGCCAAAGGCCATGTCTGAATTTGCATGTTGGTTTTGTTTTGTTTGCAGCCGAGAAACAGCGAGAGCACAGCATCTTACGCGTGAAGAACAAGTTTGGGAACAACAGCCTCCCGGCCGGGGCCGCATTTCGTTTTGCAAGAGCAGGAAGGTTATTGGACAACTGTTGCTTTCATTCCTTCTGTCTTCTGTCATCTCCGTTTGGTGTCCCACTGCCTTTTCTGTTTGCTGTGTCGCTTGCCGCTCCTCGGTCTTGCTTCTCTCTGTTTGCTCTGTTGTTTTGTGTTGTCTCCTTGCCTTCTGCTAACGTAGTTGCACTGTTGTAGCGCTGTGTCATGGTTGCAGCAGCAGTCACTCTTACAGCGCAAGATACTAGCGAGTGTTTGGGATAAGAGTGCACGTGGCATGATCAGGCTTCTCAAACTTTGCCATGGCCGCAGTCTGCCAGGTACAAGTAAGATTTGCAATGCCGAACGATTGCGGTCATCATTGCGTTCGTTTCTGGCGGGCTACTGTACTCTTGCTAGTGCCTATTTTGCGTCCGTGATGATTACTCCTTTAAACAGCAATTGTTATTCTAGAAACGGTTTTCGTTCTCCTTGCTGATGTCGCTATTGCCCCCCACCATATTCCAAACAGAACTGCTACTATCTTCTAGTACTATGGCATTGGCATGGCTATTGCTATCGTCGACCTTACACTACCGTTGTAGTATTTTTTGCTGCCGCTGTTGTCATCTTTGGTTACACCGGCCAGTCCCAGAAATCGGCAACAAGCGAAACAGATGAGTCCAGTGCCGTGAGGTGCAAGCAAGGCTTTCAGACTCTTTGCAACATTTCAGCCCTGTAGTGGGGTCTGGAAACAGACGCAGCCTCCAAGACTTCAAGGGCCACTGAAGGGGCAATAACAAAATTACAAGCAACTACAGTCCTCCGAAATGCATAGGAGGCGCCCCTCCCTGATTTTTTGAGTTCAACTATTGCGATGCTTGGGACGATTCTTCCCAGCAGGACTTCGGTTAGCCAGGTTTTTTTGTTGGAACGAACCGCTTGACGACGGGCCGGAAAGACGCCCAGCAGGATTTCGGTTGGAGCCAGGGGTTCTTGTTAGAACGAACCACATCACGGCAGGCCTAATATTACGCCTCCTATACCTACCGAAAAGAGTACCGGGCAAAAAAACTCGAAAGGCGTTTTCCACGCAAGGGTTTCGAGGCACCCTTGCAGAGGCGTAAGGCGCAGGCCTACAACGACTACTGGACCACACTAGGCAAGCAAGCGAATCCACCATGACAGTTCCAAACCTTTGGTCCAAGTTGCTATTTCTGGAGATGAGGGTTGCTTGTTTTACTTTAGGAGGCTTGATGTCGTATTATGAAGGACGTCCCTGCAGGCTCCCAGTTTCAGGAAAGTTTCAAGACATGACAAATTTAACCAAAGCAGGCCGAAGATCGCACAAGCATTCTCGTGAACCTTTGGGTCAAGGATGGCAAGCACAAACTGATTGCTGAGGCCTGTCGGGATGCAGCATTATTGTTCGATTTCGTATGAATGCTGCTACAAACATTGATAGAATTCTGATAGTTGGGTGGGTTCGTGAGACAGAAATTCAGCCGGTAAGGAGGATACGGAGTGGCGTAGGACTCCGAGCATTCTGTTTCATTTGTGCATTCGCGTAGGTCTCCCAGGTGAGGTGGTTTCAGCAGCTTTGTGTGTGGTGATGGTTCGAACCTCCGGGTGGGGAAGCGCGAGGCATCAGACTTCAGACTCAAAAGATGTCTTCATGCGGTTTGATCCACCTTTATCAATAGCTCACTGTTAATTACTTGGGAAAGTGGTTGCAGATGTGCTTCAGGTTCTCCAGGGTTGTCCAACCGCTGTCATCCAGTTACAAGAGGACGGTTCCCCGCAAGAGAGCCTGGAAAGTGGGCAGCAGGCCGAGCCGGCTGCCATACGAGAGTTCAATACCAAGCAGCTAGGATTTTGTATCCACTTTCCGGCGTGGGCGCATACTATCCCTGCTGTCTGTACATGAACATCAAAAACAGGAGCTGCTCTTATGGCATGTAAGGGTGAACATGTAACATGTAGCTGCTTGCTGCTCAGCAAGGGAAAAGATGCTCTAATACTTCTTGCTTTAGGCCGTTGTAGGCTTTTTCCCTGAGTTGTGAACGCAAGAAACCCTTGAATTCCTCCAAGGTGCAGACTGTAAATGCTTGACCTAGCTTCGAGTTAAGGGGTCTTCGGAGTACCTGAGCTTTTGTCAGCCTTTGCATGGAAGGGCTTCGTGCGTAAAAGCCCTTCCTCCATATGCAGCGTCACTTCCCTGTGGCATTTAATATACTGCATATTGGGCTTGAAAAGGGCCTGACTTAGAGAGCCTAAATGGGAATGAATTAGGGGAAGAGTGTAGGCCCTGCATGTATCCAAGGTCCACAACTTGTCGCAAACCAGAAGCGTAACGACACAGTTGAGAGCAGCAGGTCCAGTTCCAGCTCCAAGACTACATGACAGCCGCACGGCGAAAGCTGAGCCGTTTCCCTTGTCATATCATCATAGATTTGGCTTGCAATGCGCGAAACATGACTTCCCATGGGCGCGCATGCGCCTCTGAATGTTAGAGGTTCTTCTTGTGGAGGAGTAGCATGTTCAGCTTGATCCTGACGCTGCAGTTCCCACTGGATCGATTGATATATCCTATGGTAGCGCCGTGAGAGATAAGATGCTACACAGCAACATAAGTAGATTTCTCGGTATGGGATCGACAGGTTGTCGAGTTTGCAGGAGCCGTGTAGCTGCATTACAGCAAAACATAGGGCTGCCTTCGTTCAACAATATCAGCAATGCCAGGGGTCCAGCAGAGTGCGCTTCAAAAGCTAGAATTCTTTTTGAGAAGGTAGTTTGAGCTGCGCTGGACGAATGTTATCATGGTATCCGATAGTGGGAGGACCATTCATGGGAGCCTGCTTGCAAAGTAACAAGTGACATTCGGCAGGCGTCGGTGTTTGTGTTCGTGCCCCTCTGCGTGTATGCTTGTTTGAAGGGTCCAACCAATACAAACAACTCTTAGCGCCTAAGCTCCTCGTGTTTGCGGAAGACTTGCGGCTCAGTGAGAACAGTATCTGTTTCACGAAGAGCACAAGTACACGTAGGTTTGGGTTTGGTGACTACACTGTCGTACGTCAGGCAAGGCTAGAATCATAAGAAGAGTAGCATACTTTGTCAATGCCAGACGAGCAGGTAAGTGGTGCGAATCAGTAAGAGAGTCTAGGAGTCTCGGTTTTTTGGCAAAGCCAATTCGACAGATTTCCAGTAGTTGAGCGCATGGCTCATGTTAACAAGGGCTTCTTACTCTGAGTCAGCCCGCATGAATGTGGAAGGGCGGCTGCAACACACTACAGCCATAGGCGTGAACACTCCCACTCCCACTTGGCTCTTGTGAGCAGACTGCATGCTGAGGCAAAGCAGCTCAGCCATATGTACTATGACGTGAAACGGGCCAAGAGTGCCGAGGAGATCTGGCACAAGCCTATCTTCCGTCCTGTCCCCCCTGAACCTGAGGAAGGCAAAGAGGACAAACCGGTGCAATGAGACTATGATTCCGGGCACTGGCAGAGTGTGGCTGCTTGGGTAGCTTTAGGTGCACAGACGAGATCACACGTGGTTTCAGAGAAGATCAGCGACCGCAGATCAGGAAAAGCTGTTCAGCTTTGCAATGCCTGCTAGCTGACACTGCCCAATGTTTCCCCAGACCCTACCAGGGCCCTCCTTGCAAAGCCCTAATCCCCAAGGCTCCTGGGTTTCCGCTTGGTAAGGGTCTAGTGATCACTTGCAAGCTGGATTCTGGCTGAGGATCGTAAAAGGAGCAGGCTTGCACTGGCTTCTACGGGCTTCACAATGTTCAAGATGCTTCGCCCTGGCTGTCGCAGCAGTAGAGTGCGCAAGCATCACGAACGTGCTATTCAGGCACTTGCAGCCACTATCGGCAGCAATGGCTGAGGAGCTGAGGGGTAGCGGATGATGTGCATTGGCATTCATGTTCAGAAGGGCGGTTGAGGGGCCGCACAAAGAGCTCCAGGATTTCGGGACCATTTGGAAATATTGTCGCAGCCACGTCCACATTTGCGCTGTTATTGGTAGCACTTGTTGCATGTGTTTGTCGCTTGCACTCAGGCGCCATTTTCTGCTGTCAGACAGGTTTGGGTGAGTGAGGGGCTTGCTGTTAACTCCTATATTGTAATGCCGTGCAGCACTGCGTGGGCGTTTGTTACGTTGGTGCTGCCAACATGTTTTGTGCGGCTTTTTTTGATCAATCTGTGGATCAAAAAGCATGAGCCCGGCGGGAAGGGCACACCACAGTGATTATTGCTCATCATTATCTTGGTTTAGAGGAGCTCCCAGTTGTCGGCGCAAAGCCTCCAGACGAATTGCGGCTTCACCATGTAGAGTGCCAACAGGATAAACCTGCGACTGGCGCATGACAGTTCCTCGTCCATTGTATTCAGCCTTCCCTTCGTTCAAAATTGCCGCCGACGGAGTTGCAGGACTGGGATCCCTTCGCAGATCCCGCAGACGGATGTGACCAAGAGGACGGAAGCAACTCTCCGGATCGCCAGGCTGAAGCTTCCTCAGCCGAACTACGCAGGCGGTCAGTGATGGTCGGTGCGCTTTTGGCCTTAAGTCAATTTTTTGCTTGTTTCTCTGGAGTGCGCATTCACGAACGCAGGCCCTCAGAGTAACAGAAATGCAGGCACTCCAAGGGCTGTTTTTTGAAGCAGCCAATTGAAATTGTCGCCTTGTCCTCATGCTAGCTCTGGACTCATCACAGCAGCCGCCATCAAGATCCTGAGGCTCTTTCGTGACAATCGTAACTAGTGAGATTGTCATAAGAGCTGCTAGGCCTACTTAAGTAGAAAAACAGCGAGAGCCGCCAGTTCTCTGCCAGGCATATTCACACAGAAATCGCCGCTGAGCCTTTGGAGGTGCCCGGTGCGCAGCAGTTTAGGATTCAGGGTTCAGGATTTGGGGCTATGGCTAGGGCCTGTAAGGTTTAGAGGCTTAGGATTCGAGGTCATTCTACATGCTTGCAGTATTTTTTCAGGGTTTGGGGTTGCGGTTAACCTTTTTCGGAAGCTTTGACAGCCAGCTCAGGGTTTGCCATATCGCTGAGAGAGATTAAATTCCTGACCGAGAGGCGTCGCCTTCAGCGGGCTACGCAAACAAGTGCTGGGCTTGGTGCGAGGTCCTCTTGCGACAGAGTTTCTGTGCAGGAGCGTGCTTCTGAGGGAGCATTTGGAAATAGGATCCACGTTGCAGTAGCTTAACAAGTGATGTAGAAGCCACAGCGGCTTAATACCATGCCTTGGACATGGCCAAGATCCGATAGGCGAAGTGCTGTTGTAGTTGCAAGATTTTTGGGTGCATGTGGGGATGGTCGTGCAGGAGCCAAAATACACACTGATCAGCAGCGGAGCACCTAGTATTTCAGCATCAGTGGAGTGGGGCAAAGCAGGGCAGAGTCTGGTAGAGTTCTTTGGCAGCTCGGACTGTAGCTCATGAGGCTGTCTCCCAGCGTCGGGTTCCTTTCAGTACACCAAATTGGGAGCATTACAGAGAACCCTCTTAATGAAGCAAATGCTCCGAGTCTTCGGGGCATCCCAAGATGAGAACCCTTCCGTTTGCAACTCTCTGCAGGGCAGCGCTATAAACTGTGAAGTTGGTTTTGGTTTTGACGTCGTGGCCAGCAGCAACGGGACGCAGGAACACTTGTGACGATAGTGGTAATGCCACCGAGGCATAGTGGCCCAGGTGGTAGTAGTAGCTGTCATTGTCGCCACTCGCGACGAATGCTGCTGTGGCTACTGCCACTGAATCCTGAGGATCCAAGAATCTCAATAGTCTTAGATATCTTAAGCCATCACAGCTTGGTCCTTGGACTCTTGAGGGATAATATTATGCCCTGTTAGGTCCTCTCCGGAAGCAACGCCTTCTGCATGCTTTCCTTGCTCGGACCTTTGCTTCTCCGGTGCTCAGCAAGGACTGCGACCATGGGTCATCCCTCGCCCAGTATTTGGATTTTTTTGGCCGAGCCAAGAACAGTTGATAAGCGCCATAGCACTGGAAATGGGAAGCCTTCATCGGAGCCTGCCTTGGGGGTTGCTAGTGGGTTGGTGCCTGCAACATCATCTCCTAGTCCGTCCCCTCCCTGAAGCTGAGAACAGATCCAGGCGTTCAAGCCTATAGTGGCCCTCACAACTCACCACTCAGCACAGACTTCAGACGTATTGCTTAAGTGCTCCTCAGAAGAGAGCTTTCCGGCCCCCTTTGCTTCACCACATGTCCAGATTAGTAAGTACGTACAAGCACGTCTCAAAATAGGGCGTTGGATCTAGTATGTGAGGTACTCCAAAAACGGATCGCAAGGGAAGTATACCTGTTCTATAGTGCAGAGGTGAATATTCGAGGAACTCCTGCAAAACACGCGCACAACACAGAATTAGCATGTTGCAATC